GCTGAGTCTATGGTGCAGTGTTGAGTCTATGGTACAGTGCTGAGTGTATGGTGCAGTGTTGAGTCTATGGTGCAGTGTTGAGTCTATGGGCAGTGTTAAGTTTAAGGGCAGTGTTAAGTTTAAGGGCAGTGTTGAGTCTATGGCAGTGTTGAGTCTATGGGCAGTGTTAAGTCTATGGTGCAGTGTTGAGTCTATGGTGCAGTGTTGAGTCTATGGGCAGTGTTGAGTCTATGGGCGGTGTTGAGTCTAGGTGAAGTGTTGAGTCTATGGTGCAGTGTTGAGTCTATGGTGCAGTGTTGAGTCTATTGGCAGTGTTGAGTCTATGTGCGGTGTTGAGTCTATGGGCGGTGTTGAGTCTATGGTGCAGTGATGAGTCTATGGGCAGTGTTGAGTTTAAGGGCAGTGTTGAGTCTATGGCAGTGTTGAGTCTATGGGCAGTGTTGAGTCTATGGTGCAGTGTTGAGTCTATGGTGCAGTGTTGAGTCTATTGGCAGTGTTGAGTCTATGTGCGGTGTTGAGTCTATGGGCGGTGTTGAGTCTATGGTGCAGTGTTGAGTCTATGGTGCAGTGTTGAGTCTATGGGCAGTGTTGAGTCTATGGTGCAGTGTTGAGTCTATGGTGCAGTGTTGAGTCTATTGGCAGTGTTGAGTCTATGTGCGGTGTTGAGTCTATGGGCGGTGTTGAGTCTATGGTGCAGTGTTGAGTCTATGGGCAGTGTTAAGTTTAAGGGCAGTGTTGAGTCTATGGCAGTGTTGAGTCTATGGGCGGTGTTAAGTCTATGGGCAGTGTTGAGTCTATGGGCAGTGTTGAGTCTATGGGCAGTGTTGAGTCTGTGGCGCAGTGTTGAGTCTATGGGCAGTGTTGAGTCTATGGGCAGTGTTGAGTCTATGGGCAGTGTTGAGTCTATGGGCGGTGTTGAGTCTATGGGCAGTGTTGAGTCTATGGGCGGTGTTGAGTCTATGGGCAGTGTTGAGTCTATGGGCAGTGTTGAGTCTATGGGCAGTGTTGAGTCTATGGTGCCGTGTTCAGTCTATGGTGCAATGTTGAGTCTATGATGGCGTGTTGAGTCTATGGGCAGTGTTGAGTCTATGGGCAGTGTTAAGTTTAAGGACAGTGTTGAGTCTATGGCAGTGTTGAGTCTATGGGCGGTGTTAAGTCTATGGTGCAGTGTTGAGTCTATGGTGCAGTGTTGAGTCTATGGTGCAGTGTTGAGTCTATGGTGCTGTGTTGAGTCTCTGGGCAGTGTTAAGTCTATGGTGCAGTGTTGAGTCTATGGCAGTGTTGAGTCTATGGCAGTGCTGAGTCTATGGTGCAGTGTTGAGTCTATGGGCAGTGTTGAGTCTATGGTGCAATGTTGAGTCTATGGCGCAGTGCTGAGTCTATGGTGCAGTGTTGAGTCTATGGGCATTGTTGAGTTTATGGGCAGTGTTGAGTCTATGGTGCAGTGCTGAGTCTATGGGCAGTGTTGAGTCTATGGGAGGTGTTGAGTCTATGGGGAGTTTTGATTTAAAGCTTTCGTGACTGCAGTAATTCATATTCTATGGGGAGTGTTAAGTCTATGGTGAAGGGTTGAGTCTATGGTGCAGTGTTGAGTCTATGGTGCAGTGTTGAGTCTATGGTGAAGTGTTGAGTCTATGGTGCAGTGCTGAGTCTATGGTGCAGTGTTGAGTCTATGGTGCAGTGTTGAGTCTATGGTGCAGTGTTGAGTCTATGGTGCAGTGTTGAGTCTATGGGCAGTGTTGAGTCTATGGGCAGTGTTGAGTCTATGGTGCAGTGCTGAGTCTATGGTACAGTGTTGAGTCTATGGTGCAGTGTTGAGTCTATGGTGCAGTGTTGAGTCATTGGTGCAATGTTGAGTCTATGGTGCAGTGTTGAGTCTATGGGCAGTGTTGAGTCTATGGCAGTGTTGAGTCTATGGGCGGTGTTGAGTCTATGGGCCGTGGTGAGTCTATGGCAGTGTTGAATCTATGGGCGGTGTTAAGTCTGTGGTGCAGTGCTGAGTCTATGGTGCAGTGTTGAGTCTAAGGTGCAGTGCTGAGTGTATGGTGCAGTTTTGAGTCTATGGTGCAGTGTTGAGTCTATGGGCAGTGTTAAGTTTAAGGGCAGTGTTAAGTTTAAGGGCAGTGTTGAGTCTATGGCAGTGTTGAGTCTATGGGCAGTGTTAAGTCTATGGTGCAGTGTTGAGTCTATGGTGCAGTGTTGAGTCTATGGTGCAGTGTTGAGTCTTTAAGTCTATGGTGCAGTGTTGAGTCTATGGTGCAGTGTTGATTCTATGGTGCAGTGTTGATTCTATGGGCAGTGTTGAGTCTATGGGCGGTGTTGAGTCTATGGTGCAGTGTTGAGTCTATGGGCAGTGTTGAGTCTATGGTGCAATGTTGAGTCTATGGCGCAGTGCTGAGTCTATGGTGCAGTGTTGAGTCTATGGGCATTGTTGAGTTTATGGGCAGTGTTGAGTCTATGGTGCAGTGCTGAGTCTATGGGCAGTGTTGAGTCTATGGGAGGTGTTGAGTCTATGGGGAGTTTTGATTTAAAGCTTTCGTGACTGCAGTAATTCATATTCTATGGGGAGTGTTAAGTCTATGGTGAAGGGTTGAGTCTATGGTGCAGTGTTGAGTCTATGGTGCAGTGTTGAGTCTATGGTGAAGTGTTGAGTCTATGGTGCAGTGCTGAGTCTATGGTGCAGTGTTGAGTCTATGGTGCAGTGTTGAGTCTATGGTGCAGTGTTGAGTCTATGGTGCAGTGTTGAGTCTATGGGCAGTGTTGAGTCTATGGGCAGTGTTGAGTCTATGGTGCAGTGCTGAGTCTATGGTACAGTGTTGAGTCTATGGTGCAGTGTTGAGTCTATGGTGCAGTGTTGAGTCATTGGTGCAATGTTGAGTCTATGGTGCAGTGTTGAGTCTATGGGCAGTGTTGAGTCTATGGCAGTGTTGAGTCTATGGGCGGTGTTGAGTCTATGGGCCGTGGTGAGTCTATGGCAGTGTTGAATCTATGGGCGGTGTTAAGTCTGTGGTGCAGTGCTGAGTCTATGGTGCAGTGTTGAGTCTAAGGTGCAGTGCTGAGTGTATGGTGCAGTTTTGAGTCTATGGTGCAGTGTTGAGTCTATGGGCAGTGTTAAGTTTAAGGGCAGTGTTAAGTTTAAGGGCAGTGTTGAGTCTATGGCAGTGTTGAGTCTATGGGCAGTGTTAAGTCTATGGTGCAGTGTTGAGTCTATGGTGCAGTGTTGAGTCTATGGTGCAGTGTTGAGTCTTTAAGTCTATGGTGCAGTGTTGAGTCTATGGTGCAGTGTTGATTCTATGGTGCAGTGTTGATTCTATGGGCAGTGTTGAGTCTATGGGCGGTGTTGAGTCTATGGTGAAGTGTTGAGTCTATGGTGCAGTGTTGAGTCTATGGTGCAGTGTTGAGTCTATTGGCAGTGTTGAGTCTATGTGCGGTGTTGAGTCTATGGGCGGTGTTGAGTCTATGGTGCAGTGTTGAGTCTATGGGCAGTGTTAAGTTTAAGGGCAGTGTTGAGTCTATGGCAGTGTTGAGTCTATGGGCAGTGTTGAGTCTATGGTGCAGTGTTGAGTCTATGGTGCAGTGTTGAGTCTATTGGCAGTGTTGAGTCTATGTGCGGTGTTGAGTCTATGGGCGGTGTTGAGTCTATGGTGCAGTGTTGAGTCTATGGTGCAGTGTTGAGTCTATGGGCAGTGTTAAGTTTAAGGGCAGTGTTGAGTCTATGGCAGTGTTGAGTCTATGGGCGGTGTTAAGTATATGGGCAGTGTTGAGTCTATGGGCAGTGTTGAGTCTATGGGCAGTGTTGAGTCTGTGGCGCAGTGTTGAGTCTATGGGCAGTGTTGAGTCTATGGGCAGTGTTGAGTCTATGGGCAGTGTTGAGTCTATGGGCGGTGTTGAGTCTATGGGCAGTGTTGAGTCTATGGGCGGTGTTGAGTCTATGGGCAGTGTTGAGTCTATGGGCAGTGTTGAGTCTATGGGCAGTGTTGAGTCTATTGGCAGTGTTGAGTCTATGTGCGGTGTTAAGTCTATGGGCGGTGTTGAGTCTATGGTGCAGTGTTGAGTCTATGGGCAGTGTTAAGTTTAAGGGGAGTGTTGAGTCTATGGCAGTGTTGAGTCTATGGGCGGTGTTAAGTCTATGGGCAGTGTTGAGTCTATGGTGTGGTGTTGAGTCTATGGGCAGTGTTGAGTCTATGGGCAGTGTTGAGTCTATGGGCAGTGTTGAGTCTATTGGCAGTGTTGAGTCTATGTGTGGTGTTAAGTCTATGGGCGGTGTTGAGTCTATGGTGCAGTGTTGAGTCTATGGGCAGTGTTAAGTTTAAGGGCAGTGTTTAGTCTATGGCAGTGTTGAGTCTATGGCGCAGTGTTGAGTCTATGGGCAGTGTTGAGTCTATGGCGCAGTGTTGAGTCTATGGCGCAGTGTTAAGTCTATGGTGCAGTGCTGAGTCAATGGGCAGTGTTGAGTCTATGGGCAGTGTTGAGTCTATGGTGCAATGTTGAGTCTATGGTGCAGTGTTGAGTCTATGGTGCATTGCTGAGTCTATGGTGCAGTGTTGAGTCTATGGTGCAGTGTTGAGTCTATGGTGCAGTGTTGAGTCTATGGTGCAGTGCTGAGTCTATGGTGCAGTGTTGAGTCTATGGTGCAGTGTTGAGTCTATGGTGCAGTGCTGAGTCAATGGGCAGTGTTGAGTCTATGGGCAGTGTTGAGTCTATGGTGCAGTGTTGAGTCTATGGTGCAGTGTTGAGTCTATGGTGCAGTGCTGAGTCTATGGTGCAATGTTGAGGCTATGGGCAGTGTTGAGTCTATGGGCAGTGTTGAGTCTATGGCGCAGTGTTGAGTCTATGGGCAGTGTTGAGGCTATGGGTAGTGTTGAGTCTATGGGCAGTGTTGAGTCTATGGTGCAGTGTTGAGTCTATGGGCAGTGTTGTGTCAATGGTGCAGTGTTGAGTCTATGGGCAGTGTTGAGTCTATGGGCAGTGTTGTGTCAATGGTGCAGTGTTGAGTCTATGAGCAGTGTTGAGTCTATGGGCAGTGTTGAGTCTATGGGCGGTGTTGTGTCTACGAATCAGATCTGCTGACTCGTTTTTTTCTGCCCCAGGCCCAGCCCCATCCATGGCGACTCAGAGGGGAGAATGAAGTCATGTGACCGCTTTGGACGAAGTTCAAAGGGCACCTGCGATCTCACCTCCGACATTCGACCCCTAACCAGGGTAACCCCACAATGACCCGGCCACTGTGAACCCAACTGACATGGCCATTGTGAACCACAGTTACACGGCCATTGTGAACTGCGACATGGCAACCACTCACTCTCCTACCACTCCCTACTCACTACTCCCCTCCACTCACTCTCCCTACCACTCTCATCTCCCTCTACTACCACTCCCCCACTCACTCTACTACCACTCCCCCCACAGTCTACTCCCCTCCACTCACTCTCCTACCACTCCCCTCTCACCACTCCCCTCCACTCACTCTCCTACCACTCCCCACTCACCACTCCCCTGCACTCACTCTCCTACCACTCCCCACTCACCACTCCCCTCCACTCACTCTCCTACCACTCCCCACTCACCACTCCACTCACTCACTCACCTACCACTCCCCACTCACTACTCCACTCACTCACCTACCACCCCCCACTCACCACTCCCCTCCACTCACTCTCCTACCACTCCCCACTCACTCTCCTACCACTCCCCACTCACCACTCCACTCACTCTCCTACCACTCCCCTCTCACCACTCCCCTCCACTCACTCTCCTACCACTCCCCACTCACCATTCCCCTCCACTCACTCTCCTACCACTCCACTCTTACTACTCACCACCACTCACTCTCCTACCACTCCCCACTCACCACTCCCCTCCACTCACTCTCCTACCACTCCACTCACTCTCCTACCACTGCCCCCTCTCACTCTCCTATCACTCCCCACTCACCACTCCCCACTCACCACTCACCACTCCACTCCACTCACTCTCCTACCACTCCCCACTCACTACTCCCCTCCAGTCACTCTCCTACCACTCCCCACTCACCACTCCCCTCCACTCACTCTCCTACCACTCCCCTCTCACCACTCCCCTCCACTCACTCTCCTACCACTCCACTCTCCTACCACTCCCCCCTCACTCTCCTACCACTCCCCCCTCACCACTCCACTCCACTCACTCTCCTACCACTCTCCCCACTCACCACTCCTCTCCACTCACTCTCCTACCACTGCCCACTCACCACTCTCCTCCACTCACTCTCCTACCACTCCCCACTCACCACTCCTCTCCACTCACTCTCCTACCACTCCCCCACTCACCACTCCCCTCCACTCACTCTCCTACCACTTCCCACTCACCACTCACCACTCCCTTCCACTCACTCTCCTACCACTCCCCCCACTCACCACTCCACTCCACTCACTCTCCTACCACTCTTCCCACTCACCACTCCCCTCCACTCACTCTCCTACCACTCCCTACTCACCACTCCTCTCCACTCACTCCCCTACCACTCCCTACTCACTACTCCACTCACTCTGCTACCACTCACCACTCCCCACTCCCCTCCACTCACTCTCCTACCACTCCCCATTCTCTAATCCCCTCCACTCACTCTCCTACCACACCACTCACTCTCCTACCACTCCACTCACTGTCCTACCACTCCCCACTCACCACTCCACTCCACTCACTCTCCTACCACTCCACTCTCACTACTCCCCTCCACTCACTCTCCTACCACTCCCCCCACTCTCGCTACTCCCCTCCACGCGTTTGACTTTCGCTCGCGGCCAGCATCGATTGCCACCGGTTATCCCAATAGCTCTACGGCCTCCCCTAGCTCGCTTCAGTACCCTAAACGAGCTTGCAAAAGCAACAACAACAACAAAAAAAACCGCAACAACGTCGACCCATCAATAGCGGGGTGGTGGTGGTGGTGGTGGGGGAGTGGTGGGGGAGACACGAAATCAGCCGGGCTACAGTGCCCGCCACGCCGCTCCCCTTTTGGTGAGCCCACCCAACCAACCTCCCCGTCAGCGCTCGATCGCCACACTCAGGAGGAGTTGGTTGTGGTAGTGGAGGGGGCCAGGGGGGCCGGGGGGGGGCCCGTGGGGGGGGGGTGGAGTCCGTGGCCGACTGTTTCCTGTCTTCACCCACAGGCCGCCCGGCTCTGCCTCCTCCCGCTGATCGCGGGGCTTGTCTTCGTGGCCATCGCCATGGCGACGTGGACCGGGCCCCACCACCTCCGGACCCGGCCCTCGCCCGAGCGGGCCGGGGATGGGCCGCCGACCCCTCCGCCGGCTCGCGGGCCCCGGACCGCCGGCACCCGGATCGGGGGCGGGCCCAGGCTCCGTCACGTGACCTGCTCTCGCGGCTCGAGGCGCGCCTCTGACCCTAGCCTCAGGCCGCGCCCCAAGCCTCACACCGACTGCGGCGCTGACCCAAAACTCAGAGGCGCTGCTCACCCGGGGCCTGATCCCGGGCCCAATCCCAGCCCGAACCCGAGCCCCAGCGCCACGCCCAGCAACGCCCCCACCCACGGACTCAGGCCACGGCCGCGGCTCAAGCCTAGGCCTAACCCACGCGCCGAGCCCGGCCTTAGCTTCAGCACCGGCCCTCGAACGGGCTCTGACGTTACCACGGGCCCCGGCACAATCGTCCCCAGCGTCAGCCCGAGCGTTAACAGAAGCAGGAGGCCCAAGTCCAGGCACCTCAGCTTTAGGGTGAATTTGTGTTACAACTTCAGCCCTTTTCTGAAAGACTCGGGCCTTAGATCCAGGCATAGCCCGAGTACAATTTCCGACGTAAAGCCTGACACTACCCCTACCCCTGACGCGAATCGCAATGACGCTACCCCGTCCCGTGACACGACGCCTGACGCCAAGGCTACCCGTAACCCGACGACCAACTCGACTAACCCCGTGCCTGACTCCAACCCAGGTTCCAGTGGTCCGGGTAGGCCGAGGCTTCTCCGATCTCCCCGAGCCTTTTCCCTCGCCCGTGCCGAGTCACGATTGGCTGCCTCGACCGCAACCACCACCAGCACCACCACAACCACCACTGCAAGCACCACCAGCACCACCACCACTACTACCACTACAACCACCACCACCACCACTACCACCACGCGTGGCATAGGGGCTGACGATAGCATCGTCCGCCTAGATTCGTCACCCGTCGGTCATCCCGTGACCTCCCTGCGTGGCAGGGGGGTCGACCCTTCCCGTGGAGGTCACTCCGGATCTCGTGGAGGCCGCGGTCACAGTGGGACCAATCACAGAAGAGGAGGAGGAGGTGGAGGAGGAGGAGGAGGCGGGGGACTGAGCCGCAGAAGTTTAGCGCGGACGGCATCGCCGAAGGCCAGGGGGTCCGACCGTTGCCACCTCAACTTGGTGGAGGTTCGAGTGAGCGACCTGCAACTCGGCTTCCAGTCCGACGAGGTCATCTCCTTCCAGTTCTGCTCGGGATCGTGTCTCCACGCGCGCTCCAACTACGACCTGGCCCTGTCCCGCGTGATCCACCTGCACCTGCCCTTCGCTCCGATCCGCAGACGGCGTCGCCAGCAGCAGCAGCAGCAGCAGCAGCAGGGGAAGTTGGATAAGAGGGAACAGGCGGCAGTGGAGGAGGCGGCAGTGAGGATGAGGAGGAGGGCGGGCGACGGGGTGAACAGCGAGCAACCTTGCTGCAGGCCGGCCGCCTTCGAAGAGGTCACGTTTCAGAACTCGGAGCACAAGTGGGAGACGGTCGCCAACCTGAGCGCCAAGAGGTGCAAGTGCGTGCTGTGAGGAGGCGTGCGGTAGATTTACGTTCGCCACGAGGAGGAGGAGGAGGAGGAGGCTGACGAAAGGGATTGGATGAGAAGAGAGACGCGGGGGAGGAGGATGATCATCACACGCACACACACACACACACAAAGTGCTTGCCAGCAAATGTGACCGCAATAGCTTTGCTGGTATTAGTTACGGAGCTAAAATCCATCATCACACGACCACCCCCATCGCCGTGGCTTTTTGGACGCCCTTACAGATGCGGCTTGTCTAGAACGCTCTGCCTTCCCGACATTAGGAAGCCACAGGAAGCTATGAACTTTTAAATCATCGTCCAAATTGACGAACTTCATCTCTTCATAACTGCTCGCCGTTGTTGTTGTTGTTGTTTAGTTTGCTGTCCTCCCCCCGCACCTCCGATGAGCCACGGTTGGCTACGTACCGTGGATTCGGAAATTTTGAGAGACCCAAGTGGCTGTGTAGTCACCACGACGCTTGTGCCAGGCTAGGTGCACTTCGAGATGGTCGCGTGCAGAAGGCTCTCGCTGCTGCTGACAGGAGGTCACGGGACATACCCTGCAGGTGCCACGGGTTGACCGCTGCTGTGCCAGGCTAGGTGCAGCAGCAGGAGGAGGTCACGGGACAGACCCAGCCGGTGCCATGGGTTCACTGCTGCTGTGCCAGGCTAGGTGCAGGGGGAGGCCACGCTACAGAGCCAGGTGCCATGGGTTGACTGGCAGACGCACCAGACGTGCTCCCCAACCGTGCCAACTCGCTTGCGTTTTATCCGCCCCGGCGCTCCGCTCGTTGTTGTGAGCGTCGCCCCTCTGGCCCTCTCTAGCTGCTGGTTGCAGGACGAGCGCCTCCAGCCTGGACCTACGCGACACAATTACTTTCCAGAGCCCACGTGGGTACGGTGAGGGGGGGTCGGTTCGAAGGTGACGATGTAAATTCATCGCGGTGGATTTGGGGGCATTCGCAAAGCGTATTTCACGAGTTAGCGCTGCGAAGATCTGAATTTGCTTCTGGTAGTGGTGCAAAGAAAACAAAAATACCACAACCAACGCAGCCAACAGAACGGCTGCTTGTCCCTGTCGTTGGTGTGTGTAGTTTGTCGTTCTTAGGCCGCACCACCGATTAGCGCGGTTGAGCTACGTACGGTGCGAAAGAAGTGGAACGTTCACGCACTACGCTACTATATATAACTACACTATACACTACACTACTATACACTACACACTACACTACTATATATAACACTACACACTTCTGTACGCGATACACTATAAACTACACTGCTGCACACTACACTGCTGTACACTACACTACACACTACACTATACATGACACTATACACTACACACTACACTACACTACTATACACTACACACTACACTATACACTACACTACTATACACTACACTACTATACACTACACTACACACTACACTACACTACACACTACACTACTATATATAACGCTACACACTTCTGTACGCGATACACTATAAACTACACTGCTGTACACTACACTACACACTACACTATACACTACACTACATACTACACTATACACTACACTATACATGACACTATACACTACACTACTATACACTACACGACACACTACACTATTATACACTACACTACACACTACACTACACACTACACTATACACTGAATACCACACTACACTACACACTATACATTATTATACACAAGACACTACACTACACACTACACTACTGCACACTACACTACACACTACACTAAACACTGAATACTACACTACACACTACACTACACACTACACTAAACACTGAATTCTACACTACACACTACACTACACACTACACTAAACACTGAATACTACACTACACACTTCACTACACACTACACTATACATTATTATGCACTGCACACAAACCGGAGGCGCTGGAGAGAGACACGCAATCTCCACACATACAGCAGCCAGGCATCGTCAGAGTTCACGGATAGAACCCCCACGGCCTCCTGCACACCAGGCTAGGAAGACAGCATTACCCTATTCCAGATTTAAAGCTTTCGTCACTGCTACGATCCATACTCTTTGGTTCTATTGGGTAAAGTCACGTAGGTGAAAATAAAATAACAAAATTCTCACGACGTTTCGGCCACAACACAAGCGGCCTTCATCAGGTGAAGGGACGAGACTGTCTGGAGGACAGCGCTGGAGTGGAAGAAGCCACGCTTAGATCACGACCTTTAAGCTGTGTGAGAAGAAAAAGACCAAGCGCCTTGACAAAGGAATTAGCATATAATTTAGCATTGAAATGGCTCATTGAAATAGCTAAGTTAAAGTATACGCATCCGCAGAGGTACCCCTTGACAAAGGAATTAGCATTGAATTTAGCATTGAAATGGCTCATTGAAATAGCTAAGTTAAAGTATACACATCCGCAGAGGTACCCCATGACAAAGGAATTAGCATTGAATTTAGCATTGCAATGGCTCATTGAAATAGCTAAGTTAAAGTATACACATCCGCAGAGGTACCCCGTGACAAAGGAATTAGCATAGAATTTAGCATTGAAATAGCTGAGTGATTAGCTTGTGACTGGTCACAGAAATAGCTGTTTTAAAGTCAGAGCATACACATTCACAGAGGCACCTAGTACAAATCAAACAGGAGAATTTAGCATTGAAATAGCTGAGTGATTAGCTTGCAACTGGTCGCAGAAATAGCTGTGTTAAAGTCAGAGCATACACATTCACCGAGGCACCTAGTACTCATCAAACAGGAGAATTTAGCATTGAAATAGCTGAGTGATTAGCTTGTGACTGGTCGCAGAAAAAGCTGTGTTAAAGTCAGAGCATACACATTCACAGAGGCACCTAGTACTCATCAAACAGGATAATTTAGCATTGAAATAGCTGAGTGATTAGCTTGTGACTGGTCACAGAAATGGCTATGTTAAAGTCAAAGCATACACATTCACAGAGGCACCTAGTACAAATCAAACAGGAGAATTTAGCATTGAAATAACTAGGCGAATTTAGCATTGAAATAGCTGAGTGATTAGCTTGTGACTGGTTACAGAAATAGCTGTGTTAAAGTCAGAGCATACACATTCACCGAGGCACCTAGTACAAATCAAACAGGAGAATTTAGCATTGAAATAACTAGGCGAATTTAGCATTGAAATAGCTGAGTGATTAGCTTGTAACTGGTCACAGAAATAGCCGTGTTAAAGTCAGAGCATACACATTCACCGAGGCACCTAGTACAAATCAAACAGGAGAATTTAGCATTGAAATAACTAGGCGAATTTAGCATTGAAATAGCTGAGTGATTAGCTTGTGACTGGTCACAGAAATAGCTGTGTTAAAGGCAGAGCATACACATTCACCGAGGCACCTAGTACAAATCAAACAGGAGAATTTAGCATTGAAATAACTAGGCGAATTTAGCATTGAAATAGCTGAGTGATTAGCTTGTAACTGGTCACAGAAATAGCTACGTTAAAGTCAGAGCATACACATTCACCGAGGCACCTAGCACTCATCAAACAGGAGAATTTAGCATTGAAATAGCTGAGTGATTAGCTTGTAACTGGTCACAGAAATAGCTGTGTTAAAGTCAGAGCATACACATTCACCGAGGCACCTAGTACAAATCAAACAGGAGAATTTAGCATTGAAATAACTAGGCGAATTTAGCATTGAAATAGCTGAGTGATTAGCTTGTGACTGGTCACAGAAATAGCTGTGTTAAAGGCAGAGCATACACATTCACCGAGGCACCTAGTACAAATCAAACAGGATAATTTAGCATTGAAATAACTAGGCGAATTTAGCATTGAAATAGCTGAGTGATTAGCTTGTGACTGGTCGCAGAAATAGCTGTGTTAAAGTCAGAGCATACACATTCACAGAGGCACCTAGTACCAATCAAACAGGAGACTTTAGCATTGAAATAGCTGAGTGATTAGCTTGTAACTGGTCACAGAAATAACTGTGTTAAAGGCAGAGCATACACATTCACAGAGGCACCTAGTACCCATCAAACAGGAGAATTTAGCATTGAAACAGCTGAGTGATTAGCTTGTAACTGGTCACAGAAATAGCTGTGTTAAAGTCAGAGCATACACATTCACCGAGGCACCTAGTACCAATCAAACAGGAGAATTTAGCATTGAAATAGCTGAGTGATTAGCTTGTAACTGGTCGCAGAAATAGCTGTGTTAAAGTCAGAGCATACACATTCACCGAGGCACCTAGTACTCATCAAACAGGATAATTTAGCATTGAAATAGCTGAGTGATTAGCTTGTGACTGGTCACAGAAATAGCTGTGTTAAAGTCAGAGCATACACATTCACCGAGGCACCTAGTACAAATCAAACAGGAGAATTTAGCATTGAAATAACTAGGCGAATTTAGCATTGAAATAGCTGAGTGATTAGCTTGTAACTGGTCGCAGAAATAGCTGTGTTAAAGGCAGAGCATACACATTCACCGAGGCACCTAGCACTCATCAAACAGGATAATTTAGCGAAACACAACCACGCTCAGACAGCGCACCTTTAAACTGTGTGCGAGCAAACAAGGTGTCCTGACGAAAAAATAAAAAATTATCCTAGCCGATCCATAGTGTGATGTAGGTGCATCTCCCGGCGAGTTTGCTCCATCTGCTTGGCGGGCGCGTGGTTGCCTGAGCAGTGGGAGGGGCCACCTGTGTAGTGGGCGGGGCTGCCCGAGAAGCGGGCGGGGTCACCTGATCAGTCGGGGTTGGGACAAGTGGGCGGTGGGCGGGGCTACCCGAGAAGCGGGCGTGGTCACGCGGCAGTGGGCGGGGCTACCCGAGCAGCGGGCGTGGTCACGCGACAGTGGGCGGGGCTACCCGAGAAGCGGGCGTGGTCACAGTGACAGTGGGCGGGGCTACCCGAGCAGCGGGCGTGGTCACGGTGACAGTGGGCGGGGCTACCCGAGAAGCGGGCGTGGTCACGGTGACAGTGGGCGGGGCTACCCGAGCAGTGGGCGGGGACGCGAACGGATCCGGGGCTCGCGACCGGAGGCCCTCGGGGGGCAAAAGGTCGTAGCGTGGCGAGGCCTTGGGATGCTGCTGGATTCTTCTAGGAGCCGTGCAACCACGGGCGCCTCGGTGTTCGTTCAGGCCCTGCTCGTGTGTGTATGTGCGAGTGCCTTGGTTACCGAATAGGGTCCAGAGAAGGGGTGCGGGCAGGACACTGGAGGCCGAGAACGCGATCCACAGGACCCGGTAGGGTTACCGGTGTGGCCTCTAGGTCGGCCCACGTGAGCAGACTTAAAGCAACAGACGGTGCCACGGGGTGATGGACACTGGTTGCAGACTCACGCAAACGACGGTCAGAGTTGACACAGCGAGAGACGCGCAGAGGACAGGCGTGAGCGTGTGAAAGAGGTTCTCGCGGATTGTGCACATTGGGGTTGTTGTTGTTGTTGTTGAGAATTATTGGCAATTAACATGAATAACCAGGCCTCTATCATCATCATCATCATCTTCGCTCGCGCGTTTTCGCTGACTGTGCTTGACCTCCGTTGCCCACCTGATGTTATAATGTTACAGCTGGCACTCATTAGCCGCCCATGCATTCAAACGCAGTCATCATCAATTTTTTTCTGTCGGAATACTAATGATTGCTCCCTTAACATGGCTATCGCTGAGTAACGCCTTTGATTCAATCCACGCATCATATGATGCGCCGTCAGAATTTGTAATTGCTCCCATGATATGGTCATCATTCGTTCAGCCCATTCATCATCAACGTGAATTTACTGTCAGAATATTCACATCAAATAGGTAATAATGCCATTGATTCAATCCACGCATCATATGATGCGCCGTCAGAATTTGTAATTGCTCCCATGATATGGCCATCATTCGTTCAGCCCATTCATCATCAACGTGAATGTACTGTCAGAATATTGACATAAAATAGGTAATAACGCCATTGATTCAATCCACGCATCATATGATGAGCCGTCAGAATTTGTAATTGCTCCCATGATATGGCCATCATTCGTTCAGCCCATTCATCATCAACGTGAATGTACTGTCAGAATATTGACATAAAATAGGTAATAACACCATTGATTCAATCCACGCATCATATGATGAGCCGTCAGAATTTGTAATTGCTCCCATGATATGGCCATCATTCGTTCAGCCCATTCATC